ATCACATAAACGTAGAGAACCATATAACCTCTTTTATCACATAAACGTAGAGAACCATATAACCTCTTTTTTATCACATAAAACGTAGAGAACCATATAACCTCTTTTTTATCACAAAACGTAGAGAACCATATAACCTCTTTTTTATCACATAAAACGTAGAGAACCATATAACCTCTTTTTTATCACATAAAACGTAGAGAACCATATAACCTCTTTTTTGATCACATAAAACGTAGAGAACCATATAACCTCTTTTTTATCACATAAAACGTAGAGAACCATATAACCTCTTTTTCATTACCTACTAGCTGTCCTTACCCAGCATTGCCTGGGTTTTACCTGATCAGATTATAAAGGTAGTAATACCAAAAAGAAAGACATACTGTTTTCAAGCATGCTATGAATATGAAATTAGTAATATTTAAATATAATAATTTCCACCATTAATATGAATTCTAATACTTTTATACCTTTTTTTTTCTTTTTAAACCTGTTGTTACAAAACTGTTATTGTTTTATATTATTTAAAAGAAACCACACATAAAAATGTCAAAATTCATATTATCACTTCCACCAATAATTTATGTAAGTATGTGTAAAAAGTTTCAGGTCTCTAGATTCTTTATCATTAGAGCTATGGCACTGACTGGCTGACACACACACACACACAGAGGCTGTTTTATTGTTATAGACAACATATAACCTCTTTTTCATTACATACAACATAGATAACCACATAACCTCTTTTTCATCACATACAACATAGAGAACCATGTAACCTCTTTGTTATTATATACAACATAAACAAAATGTTAAACTTTTTTTATCAAATAAAACAGAAAATCGCATAACATGTTTTTATCAATACAGTGTTTTCATTTCAACAGATTGTTAAAGAATAATCTTTTGAACGAAAAGTTATGATAAAATGAAAATAGGAAAAGTTACTATAATTTTTCCCTAAAAAAAGCATCATTGTTAACTATTAATGGTGTGTGAGATCACACGGAAACTTGTTTTAACTTCGTAGAACAAAATCTTTAATAAATAAAACATTGCTTAGTTATTTAATATGTTCTAAATCAATAAGTACCAACACAGCTTCCACTTTAACTTTGAGCTGATTAACAGTTGATGTTTCACATTTACTTGTCTAATACTCTACCTAGGTATTTCTCTGGTGTCCTTATACTTTCTTGTGCAATCATTTTCCTAGTTAATAGTATCAACATGGTAATAACAGCAAAAATCTGTAGTTGTTTCAAATTCTATCATTGGCATTAAAACCTCAAAAAATTTATTCACAACGATTTAACTGCAAAACAAAACAGCATCAGCTATTAGACAATGTGTTTTTGATATAACCAAAGATATAGTGGGATGTGGCATAAAATATTCAGCAGATATATAGTTTAGTAATGGTGTTAAAAAAAACTTAAAGAAAGATTAAAATATATTAAAAAACAACAACACAAACATTGGAAATCTGGAAGTTGTTAGATTAATGACAACATGGATGAGTTAATGTTGTTATTTAATGTTGGGTAATTGTTGAAAATGGAAAGGTTTTCTTTAATAAAGAGTGTGTAACTGGAGTCAAGACTTTGAAAGTTTTCAATAATTATGTTATTCTCACTGTGTAACTGGAGTCAAGACTGAAAGTTTTCAATAATTATGTTATTCTCACTGTGTAACTGGAGTCAAGACTTTGAAAGTTTTCAATAATTATGTTATTCTCACTGTGTAACTGGAGTCAAGACTTTGAAATATTTCAATAATTATGTTATTCTCACTGTGTAACTGGAGTCAAGACTTTGAAAGTTTTCAATAATTATGTTATTCTCACTGTGTAACTAGAGTCAAGACTTTGAAATTTTTCAATAATTATGTTATTCTCACTGTGTAACTGGAGTCAAGACTTTGAAAGTTTTCAATAATTATGTTATTCTCACTGTGTAACTGGAGTCAAGACTCAGGTGGAGTAAATAGCTTATATCTGCTTCTAGCTATAATTGGATACAAGACTCAGATGGAGTAGATAGCTTATATCTACTGATATATGTGTTTATATCTGCACATATGTTCATGTGTTTGTAGATGACATGTAGTTTTATCAATTTTGGTATTTTTGCAGCTAAACTGTTTTTTGTTCATCTGTGTGTACTTGGTACTTTCAACTCTCAGAGGTATTGGTGGGAAAGGTTTAATAATTTGTTGATCAGTTCAATGACACCATTGAGTTATAAACTAGTTGTTTGAAATTATGTAGGTTGTTTAGTGCATATTTTCATAATATTCTTCTTGGTTCTCTAGAGAAAAATGGCTTATTTCTTAATCTTGTTCAGGATTGGCTCTCTAGAGAACAATGGCTTATTTCTTAATCTTGTTCAGGATTGGCTCTCTAGAGAACAATGGCTTATTTCTTAATCTTGTTCAGGATTGGCTCTCTAGAGAACAATGGCTTATTTCTTAATCTTGTTCAGGATTGGCTATCTAGAGAAAAATGGCTTATTTCTTAATCTTGTTCAGGATTGACATAGAAGCTGATCTGGTGAAAGTTTGTTTGGTAGAATTATATTTATTTAATTAATATTTCAGATCCACTGTATAGATCTTTGAATGTGCAGTTCACCAGAAATCATTATTTGGTCCACTTTCAGCTGTGTAGTTTTTGTTAGTTAATAGAAGTTGATTAAAATTGAAAATATAAATAATGTTTTTAGCTGTTCATTAACATAAATCTTAAATATATATATATTTTATAAGAACTTTTTTTCCTGACATTAAAAATTGAATTGTAGCATGATGATTAATGAAATATGAACTTAGTTTTCACTTCAATCTAACAATTTTTCAATAGATGAGGTCAAAGTTTAGTGCCGATGATCATGGTCACTACCAGTTCACCCCACAAAACTTGACACAATGGGTGCTCAGTCTTTTGAGATATGACATGGCTGAAGGAGGAGATTCTTCCAATTCAACTCCCGATGGCCTTCTTGAAATATGGGCTTATGAAGCTTGTCGGCTATTCAGGGATCGTCTAGCAGATGAAGATGCTTGCTGCCGGTTTGATGATATTCTAAACAACATTGTTCGAGGAGATTGGGGTTTGCAAGCTCTTGATAAGCTAGAAGGTATTTACTAAATTCTTATTAACGTTTAGTTTCAAGTACACATGCTAGAAGGTATTTACTGAATTCTTATTAACGTTTAGTTTCAAGTACACATGCTAGAAGTTATTTACTGAATACTTACTAACATTTAGTTTCAAGTACACATGCTAGAAGGTATTTACTGAATTCATGCTAACATTTAGTTTCAAGTACACATGCTAGAAGGTATTTACTGAATTCATGCTAACGTTTAGTTTCAAGGTACAAGCTAGAAGGTATTTAC